TGCAAATTCTTTTCGCAAACTCCGAGGTCAAATTTTTTTTGATAAAATTTCATCATTTGGACCCAGCATCACCCTCCATGAGTTTCATCTGGGTCCCACACTCGGAAGTCGAGATTCAACATACTGAAAAATCCTGGATACGTCACTAATTGAAAAGAATATTTTTTTTCGACAAGATATTGAATTCGTACAAATATCTCTTGATCACAAAAGAACGAGTTCACATGGCAATTCAATAAGAGTCAATATTCATATCTATGAACAAAATCTTGGATCGAAAATTCATTAGAATGTTTATCAGTCGCCACTAAAAAATCCGTCTAAATGAATCTTTTAGATTTTTGCTAGTCTTATCGAAGCCTGCTTGTCGATTCAGTATGAGCTCAAATAACAAGTGTCAATCAAGATAGTTCCCTCGCAATTTTGTCAGAATTTTACTGAATATTTTATTTTAGTCATGAAGCAATGACTGATTTGATTGCTGTAATGGGTACATTAGTTGATAGTCAAGGTCATATATTAATTGATGGTATTTATGATGATGTTGCACCACTTTTAGCAGAAGAAGAAGGACTTTATAATCAAATTACATTTGATGTGGTTCGTTGAATATTTTATTTTCTGCTTGAATAAATTTCGTATTATTGTTGTTTTTTTATTAGAGTGCGTATTGTTCTGAAGCAGGTGTTAGAAGAACAATTCAAACTGAAAAAGAAAAAATTTTAATGCATCGATGGAGATATCCATCATTATCTTTACATGGAATTCAAGGTATGTAAAAAGTTGTATTTTTTAATTTTATCTATCATAATTAAAATTTTCTATTAGGTGCATTCGATGGTTGTGGTTGTAAAACTGTCATTCCACGTCATGTTATTGGAAAATTTTCAATTCGTATTGTTCCAAATATGAAAATTTCTACTGTAGAAAAATTAGTTGAAGATCATGTTAAAAAAATTATGAAAGCACGAAATACACCAAATAAAGTTTCTGTTAAATTAGAACATGGTGGTAATTATTGGATTGCTGATCCAAATAATCCTCAATATGTTGCAGCACGTAAAGCAACAGTTGCTGTTCATGGTATTGAACCTGATTTAACACGTGAAGGTGGTTCAATTCCTATAACATGTAAGTTTAATTTTTAATTAAAAGAAAAAAAAAATATTATTTATTTATTTCAGTGACATTCCAAGAACAAACAGGTAAAAATGTTTTATTATTACCAATTGGTGCAAGTGATGATGGTGCACATTCACAAAATGAAAAATTCGATGTAAGCAATTATATGAATGGCATGAAAGTGATGAGTGTCTATTTTCAAGAAGTGGCTAAATTATAACTTAATCTCATTAATTTTATCTAAATAAAACAAAGCCGAACTTTGTTTACTAATATATGATTTCTTTTTTTTTTTTTTTTATCTTTATTCAATAAATTTTCTAATGGATGATCTAAGCAATAAATAATTCTTATTCTAAACTGTAAGAATAATCTTTGAGTTTCTTCTTCTTTTTTTTGTTTTGTTTTTGATCAAAACAAAAATTATTCTACATTATTTATAATCTCAGGAAAAAGCTTCTATTTTTATTCATGAAAAAATACAAATAGTTTTTTTTTTGAATATTGATGATGGAAGTCTTGTTGAAAAATCCAATGTAAACTGCTTATTCAACTGAAAATCTGCTGTTGCTTTGTTTTTCTCATATCCGTATTAAGTGATGTTTTTTCCTTTGGATTTATGAGATATAATCAACCATAAGATTTTATTCCTCATTGGTTAGAAAATAATGAAGAGCCATTTCATCTAGCTATACTAACAAAACATAGACAGTAGTCTATCGAATGAGTCAATGCCATCATCAAACCGTTCATCGAGTGTTCCATTATCTTGTAAGTATTTATTAAAATAATGACACTGTTATTTGATGCCTACATTACTTAGTTAAGTACATTATGTCTAGAATGCGTACTTAACGGATGTTATTCAAGTATTTTAATTTAAAAATTTTTTTCAATTAGTTATGATTTTACAATATAGAGCTATTTGAAATAATATTTTAATTTTGATGAGTCTGACGGATAAAAGTAATTCAAAATAAAGGAAATCTAGTAATAATCTTTGAGTTGATATTAGCTTTATCTTGATAATTTGATGTCGACGGAAAAAAAGTAGAGACTTCAGAACTTTGTAGACAATATTTCGATTATGAAAAATTCACAAAAATATTGAATGATTTCGATACTATCTAAGATATTTAAAACGTCATAGAAGATAAAACTTAATTTCAAGATATCTAATAAATCTTGTAGATAAATGATCTACAAACTATTTACCAATGAAACTCTTTTGTTTCCGGTATTGTTATTTTAGCAGAAATATGAACTTTCATTGTTGAATGAAATAATTTTTAATGAAGTTTTTTACTTATATCACTTACAGCACTTTATTAACGGATAAACGATCTAATTTGTCTGGCGTTAACTATTAAACTATTTTCTGATGCATGAATTTAGATTTGTCATTTTTAAGATTTCTCGAATATTTATGACATTTGGATAAAATCTTTAGAAGTTTCTATTCTTGAAATCCTTTGTTACTCTATTATTTGTTAAGAATCCTAACATGATGGTATTTATACTAGATATGAGCAAGATGATCCCGAGTAGTAGAAGTAATGCTTTTTCATAAGAAGCGATATCTTTCATGATCGTGTAAAACTTGCATTCAATGAAGAAAAAAAACAACTGATTTCGCTAATGTCTAATCTAGATTCTTTACTTTGATAATTATTTTTTTGACTTTTTTAGTCGATCGTTTTCGGGTGAGATCAATTCAATTTCGCTCACCTTTTCGTGGTCATCAACGTGAAAAAAACGTTAAACAAAGTCCAGGTAAATAATATACTTAACATGTACAATATAAATTCAATGATTTAAATATAATTCAGATCGATCATGGACACGTAAAACTCAAGTTCATCCTAATAGTATTAATTCATCAGAATCTAAACGAATAGATCGTGATGCAGCACATTTATTTTATGCAAATAAACGATCAAATTCGATGACATCCTCATCATTAGAAAATTCACAAAATAACAGTATGTTTTAAAAATTATAATAGAAGAAAAAAACTGAAAATACTTTTTCTTAAGCATGTTCAAAGACTTATTTTAATACTCGACCGACATCAAATGTCGTTGGAGTATTCGATCGTACAAACATATCTCTTATAAATCCATCTTATTCAACTCAATCTGAAACTCCTGAAAGTGTATGTCCGCCGACTCCATGTATGGTACGTTATCGACATAGTTCTGTACCAATTGTTATACCTACACGTATTATAAAACGTCCGAAATCTTTTGATGATTCAAATAAACAATCCGATCTTGATCACGTCGATCAACTGAATGCTTAATGAAAACTAAATTACTATATGAATAATAAGAGAACAAAAACATTTATTTTAAAGCAAACATCATTCATTTAGACATTCTTAAAATCTAATTTTGAAATTCTAATAATAAATTTCATTAACTATTACTTTTGTTGATAATAACTAATTCACAAACAATTATTTTACTGAACTTCTATGAAAGTTCTAAATAAACATTGTTTTTCTTTGTCATCGTTTGCACCTATCTTTCTTGATTTATGCAGAAAAAAAAATCTACTCTCAGACCAAAACTTTTCAGTTTTGCGGACTAACAAGACTCACTGATAATTCAATCGTACAGCATCATATTAACTGTTAGAATCTAAAGTTATAGTTTTTCTTCCTTTAAAAATATTCAGGATATAGAATTTTATGTCTTAACGAAATTAACTACACATATTAAGACTTTAAATATCAATAACTGTGTTTTTTTGACTTACGAATGCTTCAAAAAGCTATTTATAGAAATAAAGTAAAAGAAAACACATGAAATATGTTTTGCTTTAGTTTAAGAGCAATACTCACATGATGAGTAGAAATAAACTACTCGTAATAGTCAAAACTAATTCTCAATTCCATTCACTAATCGAACTGCTATTTTGCCCATGAGAAGGCTTTGACAAAATCAGTAGAAACCTATAAGAGTTCATCAGCAGGCAGTGTCTTTCTCAATCGAATAGTTTTACTGAATTTTCTATTGGTGACACGATTATAACGAAAGAATCAAATTACACGATTTCGACCTGAAATTTTGCTCTAAAGTATTTCTTACGAACATCAGAATGCCCCGAAGAAGATGTGCTACTCTTGAGACATTAAATAGTCCAAAAAACAATCGAGTATTTTCAACATTCAATATCTCAAAAAACAAGACATCTTTTTGAGCTGAAATTCTTAGAGCATTCGGATGTTTACGAGATCTACCTATGAACGAAGTTTCAGGTTGCAATTCAATAATTCAATTTTTTCACTAATACAATGCCAACGAAAAACAAACCTCAGTCAAATTGTAATAACTTGAGAAAGACAGTGCACGAAGACGAATTCTTATAAGTTTCTACTATTCTCATCAGGATCTACTTATAGGCAAAGTATCAGCTTGACTGGCGAATTACATGTAGAGACGTTTCTTTATCAGTAAAAATACGAAATATATAGTATTCCAAAATTAGAGGACCTCCACGTACATTTATATAGAACTCATTGTTTTCTTTTCAAGAAGTAATGTTGTTGATTGTATACTAATACAGACATAGATATCTACAGTCTTTTCCTAGTATCCACCCCAATTGTCTTTAGTTCTATCTACAAGAAATCTGATAAAAATGAAAAACTTACTGACTTTAAGTTATAGGTCAACCAATCAAAGGACAAAGTTTGTATAAGATCAGATATTGGTCTACCAACATTTTACTTTGAAATGTTTATGCGTATAAGACGATAGAGTTCATCACGACAAACATTGTGACACTGTTTTGATCGTATTTTGAATATATCTTTGTTATTATAACATGCAGTATTTTCCAGTGATGCAATTTTAATTGACTCTTGCTATGAAACTATATCGAGATTCGATGTCAACTATGAATAGATTAAATTCTAATCACATGATTCAATATAGGGAATCATGTTAGCGTAGAATTTCGCACATGTCTCAGGACAAAAAAAAATAAGGATGCCGAGTTAGTTAAGACTAGATATGTCAATCTCATGAGATTTAAATACCACTAGGTCCAATCAGTTCCAATCAATATGTCGATCATCTTTCGAATAGTCAACGTCATATCCCTAACTATCTTATGCCATTTTAAAGGTCACAATGAGGACTGGCTGTGATAAGAGAAGTCATGGGACAACTATCTTGTTTTTTCCAAGATATATGCAAAATACTACGCCAAGATGGTTCTCTATATTAAAGCATAGGTTGATAGATGGCTTATATCTCGAGTATCTGTTAAGATTTTGTGCTGATACTTTCCTAAAATGTCAAGAAAACCGCTAGATCTCGATTGCAATAGCTATTGGTTAGAATTTCATGTATTCATTAACTCTATTATCTTATGTAAATATGGCAAGGGGAACAGTCGATAGATCAATATCTGGTCTTATACATTTTTATCTTCTGATTAGTTGACCTATAACTTTAGATTTCTTATAGATAGAATAAAAGACAAAGGGGATGGATACTAGGAAAAGACTGTAGATATCTATGTCTATATTAGTATACAATCAACACATCAACAACATTATTTCTTGACAAGAATACTAAAGTTTATAGACAAATATATGTGGGAGTTCTATACATTTTCGATACCCTATATATTCATTTGAGAGTACCTATTATTCATATTACAAAAAAGTTAATGATAATATTTTTCGATTATGAATCAAACAATGATTCAAACTTTAACAATCATTGATATATTTGTTTTTGTTTTCGAATTATGCGACATATACATAGACAATTGTTATTTGCGTCATTACGCAAGCAGAAAAAAAAAGCACCATTAATAAGCATAATTTGAGATAAATATAAATATATACTATGGTTTGATGTTAGTTGCGTATCGAATATTTTTTAAGCACATATTCAACATGTGTGTATATAAATACATGACCTTCTTATCAAAAATCAATTATTTCTCATTATTTGTCATATCTATAATAATAAAAAAAAGAGAACGCGAACCAAATTTGATTGCTTGGTTTGAATAATTATGTAACCAGTAGTTTCTTTTTTTTTCTTCTATCAATTCGTTCTAATGAATGATCATCGACACTTATATGCGTCAAATAAATTGTGCTTGAGCTAAAAATTATTCAAGAATGGGTTTATGTCACGGTTCAAACAGTTCAATAATTGAAAAATCCTTAAATCATAATGAAAATCTTGACATTTATACAGTTATTTGGCTTGATAATAGAATAAAAAAATCGAAAAAACAAATTTCTATTCAACAACAACAACAACTTCGTACAATAATAAATTATTTAAAAATATTTGAAAATGAAAATGATTGTGAAGAATATATTAAACAAATGTCTCAAGATGAATATATTATACTTATTATAAATGATCAAATTGAACAAAAATTTATTTCACATGTTAATAATTTACAACAAATATTTTCTATATATATTTATTCTCAAAATAATAATATAGATGAACAATTAATTAATCAATATGATAAGGTATAAATAAATATAATTGATTTATTAAAGAGATAAACATTTATAGTTTTAGATAAAATCTATTTGTTTAAATTATGATGAACTTATCAAACAAATTGAATTTGATCAAATCAAATATAAATATATAAAAAATAAAATTTTATTTGATATTTTTTATATTAATAATACAAATAATTCCAATGAGAAATTTATATATTCTCAAATTTTAATTGATATTTTACTTCAAATGGATTCAATGCCAAATGATATAATTGATTTAATAACATTATGTCGAAATCAATATAAAGGAAATAAATTTCTATTAAATATTCTACGTGAATTTCAAAAAACTTATACATCTAATCATGCTATATGGTGGTTTACAAGAGATACATTTATTTCTCAATTATTAAATAAAGCTTTAAGAATACAAAATATTGATTTAATTTTTCTTCTTCGATTTTTTCTTCATGATATTGAACAACAATTAAAACAATATCTTTGTTTAACACCAGTTCAAGTTTATAGATATGAATTAATGTCAAATAAAGAATTAGAATTATTGAAAGATTCAATTGGACAATTTATATCAATAAACAATTTTCTTTTGACAAAAGTTAATCGTGAATCAGCACTTCCCTCTACTAAAATATCATTAAATAATAATGATTTTCATTGTGTATTATTCAAAATTACAGCTGATTGTAATCTTGATAAAACAAAACCATTTGCTTATATTACATCTCAAACTAGTTTTAATAATAATGAAGATGAAGTATTATTCATGTTGGGATCTATATTTCAACTTAAGAATATTTATCAAGATGAAAATAACTTATGGATTATTGAAATAGTATTATCTAATAGAGAAAATAAAGATTTAAAATCGATTTTTAAAAATTATAAAAACGATGATAATAATAATAATAATAATGATGATGATGAAATAGATCTTTTATCATTTGGTTATATATTACAAAAAATGAATAAATTAGATGAAGCAGAGAAGTATTATTCTCGTTTATTAAATGAATTATCTGAAGACGATGAACGTATTAGCTGTTGTCTTCTTAATCTTGGTAATATAGAATTTATTAAAAATAATTACGATTCAAGTCTTGAATGGTTATTAAAATCACTTGATATATCACTAAGAACATTACAATCAAATGATATAATTTTTGCACGTATTTATTATAGTATGGGTCATGTATATAATGAAAAAAATGATTTCAAATTAGCACTTGAATCTTATGATAAAGCAATTATTATATGGAAACAATCTATTGATGATTATTATTTAAATATAGCTGAATGTATGAATAATATTGGAATTATTTATAAAACAGAAAACAATTATTTATTAGCTTTAGAATGTTTTAAAAAAACATTAACTGTTTTGGAAAAATATGTTTCAAATGATGATTTTGATATAAGTAAATCACATTGTAATATTGCTAGTACATATAGACAACTTGGACAATATGATTTAGCATTAGAGCATTATAATTTATCGTTTAAAATTTTACAAAAATATTATTCAATGAATCATCCAAATATTGCTAAAGCATTGGGAAATATTGGTATTGTTCATGCTCTAAAAGGTGAGCGTCAAAAAGCATTATTATATTATGAAAAATCAGCCGAAATTTATCGACACGCATTACCTCCAACACATATAAATAATATTAAAATCGAACAACTTATACGAAATCTTTCATTACCACATCGAAAACTGTCTTTTGGAACAATTGAATCAAGATAATATACATATATATAAATCATAAACATGTTTATTATTGTTTGTTGAGTTTTTTTTTTAAATTATAATATATTCCCAGCAATAGTGTATTTGTTTCTTGTACAGGAATTTTATTTTTTATCTGAGAAAAATGAACAAGTTTATTATACATACGATAAAGAAGATGAATATTACCATTATATTATATTAATATAAAATTATTTCTGAAAACAATGAATACAATATAAGCTTAGAAGTTTAATTTCCAAAAAATATAAATTTAATAAAATACAGTCAAAGACAAAAGTTTAAGCGAAAATGTATTTTTGATTTTTTCTATAATAATAACAAGCATCTAACTGAAATTCAAATAGTGATTCAGATAGCCAATGAAGAGCTCTATCAAATGCATCCTATAACAAAATTTCATAGATGATTTAAGGTATCAAGGTTTCTAGAAAACCCAAAACCGTATTTTTCAGGTCTCAGAAGACTTTGTAATAATTCGTTTCTAACAATACCAACTTAAAAAACACAAAATTCTGAAGAAAATGAAGGGTCGCCGCCTTTTCTACGACTTTCCTTTCAAAAGTTATAAGCATCACAAAAATCGAAAAAATACGATTTTTTGGCGGGTTTCTCGATAAATTTCACATTTTTCCAGTTTTTGTAATGCTTATAACTTTTGAAAGGAAAGTCGTAGGAAAGGCGGCGACCCTTCATTTTCTTCAGAATTTTGTGTTGTTTAAGTTGGTACTGTTAGAAACGAATTATTGCAAAGACTTCTGAGACCTGAAAAATACGGTTTTGGATTTTCTAGAAACCTTGCTACCTTAAAACATCTATAAAATTTTGTTATAGAATGCATTTGATAGAACTCTTCATTGGCTATCCGAATCACTATTTGGATTTCAGTTAGATGCTTGTTATTATTATAGAAAAAATCAAAAATACATTCCCTAGTCGAACATCTTGTAAGCAAGATCTTGAAATCTTGGGTCCGATAAGCAAGATCTTGACAAGATCATGAAAAGATAATTTGTATGTGAATAGCTTGCGCGCATCGGATACATCTGTGTCTAAGATCTTGTCAAGATCATGAGAAAGATATNCACCCACACTCACACCCCCATCCACACCCACACCCGCAGCCGACACACACATCCCCACCCACACACCCACACCCACACCCCCACACCCACACCCCCACCCACACCCACCCACTCCCACACCCACACACACTCACACCACCCACACCCACACCCACCCACACCCACACCCCGCCTATTCCCAATTTCAACAATGGATGAACTAGATCATACCCATAGCTCAGCAGAGTGATTGAGGTCCGAGGAAAACAGAGCGTTGTATATACAGTTTCCTAAATTAGAAAGAAAAGCGTCAGACCCAACGCTCGCATTGCCTTTTCTTTAAAAACGCATCTAAATGAGAGGCAGCTGTAAAAAAACGGAATTTTTTTCTTTTTATGAAGCCATTGGACACTTCGAAGAGAATGACGCTCTTTTCCTTCGTATTATGCATTTTATTTCTCACATCAACACACAGTCCTATCAGTATCGATATCACTAATTTACGCTCAATCATGCTGAGAAAACTAAGTTCTTTTTTTTTATTGGATTAAGCTAATTAAATGAAGCATTAACATCAATGGTTATGTTGCAAGTGAATTTTACACTAAGCATAGAAATTGTTCGTTCATGTAGATAGACTTGAATTTATTGTCTGAATTTTCACTTAAGAAATCTTTACGGTATAGACAGTGAGCACAATTGAAAGGCCACATGCTACCAGAATGTGAAAAATAAATAGAAACGTTTTGAATTGCTCCTTAAATATATTTACTGACGACGATCGAGCATTGATGGACATAGGCTGATCACCATCATGAAGAAAATTTGTTTGCATTGGATGAACTAAATTTATTGTATTAAATCGTAACCAATACTTGTGGTAGAAAATTTCGAGGCACTCGATACCAATCCATATAACAAATTCCATCGACCACCATGCTACAAGAATTCGCCATGGTTTCACCATTACAGAATCATATCTAGATAAGAGAGTAGCAAGAAGAATAGTTGCACTTGAGAGAATCAGTGTACTAATTCCAACAATGCGATGCATATAGTTAAAAATAAATCGTCGTGGATGATCAGGACGACATCGAAATATGGTCATTATTGATTCTAGAGTAACAGTCGATACAACAACCAAACCCATAATTGAATGAGCAAATTCACGTGATAGACTTTGAGAAGTCCATGCACCTCGTTTATAAATGAGAATGAGTACGAATGAAATCAATGTCATTACTACAGCAAAATTCATAACTATTTGATGCATAATATACCATACAGGTGTAGCGCAAAGTTTTAACTTGGACCAAGATTGTCTAAAATATCGAGCTAGGAGAATACCTGTTGGAACAAATAACATCCAAAGAAGTAGCATAATAATACCATGAGCACGCAAAAGAATTGTTTTATTGTTGGTGGATTCTTGAGTGTTATTCGTCGTTATTGTTTCTGGTTGATTAAGTTGAATCATTTGAGTTAGAACGCCTGTTGCGAAATGTTGTATTAATGAGTCTATTATGTTAATAATGGACAACAATTGAATCAAGTCATCATTATAGAAGTATCTTACTTGAACTATCTAAGTTTCCGATGGCCGTGAGAATATGGTATTGTGTATTTTGTGAAAGTAAAGAAATGCTCCGTTTTTTTCGTCGATCCAAAGTATTAGTGAAATTAGACAGAGTAAATTCACAATAGATGACGCCATTGTTCTGAGCTACTCGGCTTACTTGAAATATCCCACCATAATTTGAAGCAGTAGTAACTAAAACTGAAGGTGAATAACCATCGAGATTGACAAAACGTTGTACTTGAATAGTGTCATCACTCAAGTGTTCACAAGCAAACACATGATCATCGCCCTACATGAAAAACAAAACCAATTGAACAAAGAATGAAACAAAAAAATCCTATTGTTCTTTACCATTAAATCATCAAGCGACAAACCGATAGCGAACCATTGAGATTTTTTGAGATTGTTGGTAAGTATTCCAATAGTTATTATTCCATCGATGTATGTCCAATTGAGATTTAGTGTTGGATCGATCACTTGGGAATTGATTGTAGAGGTAGAAACTACTGGTAGACTAGTCACTTGTATATTGGTTGAAGTAAAAGAATCGACTGATGGACTAGTCTCTGACGGATCAACTGCACCAGTGGATTCCAAGGACGTTATTATAGTCTGTTAAACAATGACACACACATTTTAGAGAAAGAAAAACATGGAAATAATATCGAACTCCTACACTGGTTGATTGTGAAACAGTAGTGGAGGTCGCAAATGAACTGACAGATAAGCTTGTCGGTGTAGTCTAAAGAAAGAATTGTAAATTGAGTAAGAGGAGAGAATCTTTAGTTGATTGAATAGCTTACAAGTTGAGGAGTCAGTGTAATATTAAAACAATTTACGTAGAACTTTTTGTATGTTTGAACGATCGTTGCTCTAAGAATTCCTTGAAGTTAGGAAAGATTTTCTTTTCTAAAAAATTTCGTTCTCAGACATTTGAACAAACTCCGACAACTCAACCTTTTATTATTTGAGACTCAATATTAGCTCCAATTCCATACCGTACAATCATCAGAGACGTGAACCATGCGCATAGTTTGTCCTCCCCTCAATGTCAAGTAAGACTCAAATTTTAGACGGTCACTCTGCGTGCCTTCTCCTTCTATAAGACGGTCGCGTGAATGCCGTTTGATCATTGTAGCAGTCAAAATTTCTTTAGTTCGAAACGAAAAGGTTAATTCAACTTTAATGGCGTGCTGCAATATTTGGGTCACTTCTCTGTTAAACCATCAATAAAATACAAGACAACATCAATTGAGTAGTCATTCCTACGAAAATATTACAAATATCATTATTAAAGTCTACTGCTAATGACTTTTAATTGTAACAAAATTTTGCTGTATAATAGATGTTCAAGACAATGTCTTTACAATTTCCCTCCTGTCACTCCTGCCGTTACATAGTAACTAGATATATTCATTGTACACTTTGATTTTCTATTTCTCTGATGAATTTTATCATTCTATTTGGATACTAGGATTTTTCAATATATCTGTGTTGACTTAATTCGTCGACGAACAAATCTATTACTATCACAATTATATAACATGTTGGTTACTCGGTCATACTTAAGTATTCAGACTGAAAATTAAGAATGACTTCTTCATATTCAATTTATGTTTAATATATAAAATAATATTCTTTCAAGTATGCACATAGAAATGTTTGCTTGTATTTTTTTTACTTTATTTTCATACAGTTTGTTCTCTACTTCTTTCTTCATATTTGAATGAATAATATTGGACGAAACGTCATTTTTTATGATAAACAAAAGAACATGTGAAACTTGATACCTAGAATCAATTCAAGCGTCTCTTCTATTAAATCTAGTACAGATTAATGATCACCAAGTGTTCAATATGGTTATCATAATGTGACCACTCTTATCTTGAAAAATTATATAGAATAATGTTTAAATTCAGTGATGGTCTGACTCACCGAAAATGTTTTTGGAATGATGACCAGTTTTGCTAGCATTTTACATCAATAATAATTTTTTCTGCCGTTCTTTCCTCGTTTTGCAGGCGCGATGCACATCTCTGACACATAGATAATATTTATCATGTAAATAAATCTTACTTTTGTTTACTATCTATCGATATTATTCACAATGATAAAACATGACCTTGATGAATGACTTTGTGCAAAGTTTCACTTCATATTAGTCATTTTTATTTTCGTCAACAATGAAAATTTAGCTTATAATGATAACTCCAGTGTTGCTATTTCTCTTGTTTGTAGCAGAAAGTGTCGATCATTATCCTGTTGTTTTTTGCGCTTTTCCAAATATCCTTTATAAAGTAAAACTTCTCTAATGTAAACACTATTGGGTCCGGCGAATAGTACTCACTTTATGGAGATACCTATTATTGAGAAGTTTTGAGTTTCTTGTATGCAACCTCAAAGTATTTAGTTGCAGGAGACGATCTGTTTATTCTAGACAACAATTTGTTAAATAAAAAAGAGAATATATTTTCATGAAATAGCGATTTTCTTGTCAGCATAAAACTGAATCAAGATAAATCAACACTTCTTGACACGATTTGATGTTATTGGTTGTTAACTCAAACGCGACAATGTGCTATTCAAAGTACTTTTATTTTTGAAAATAGTGTTTGTTTTTTCTTTTACATATGCACGGTTGGTCCATCCTCTTCTTAAACGCGTCTCATGACTATTAATCATGATGCAATACATGTGTTGCTCATACATAATAGATGTAAATGTAGATAATTTATTTTCTCGTACATCCATATCCATACTCTTCTATTCAAAGTTATTCAAAACAAGAAGTCATTCATCTTGTTTCTTCAAATGCATAATAGTTTATAACTCAGCCGAATGCCATGAGCAATACAGATATATTAATACAGAACTTGATATGAACAAGAAAATTTTAAGATTGACTGAGCCATGAAAAGTTAATTATAAACTCTAAGATAAGATAATGTTACCAATAACATCGAAGATCTCCAAGTTTTCTAGATCAAAGATGAATATTTAAACATTTCAGTGTCACAAAAATTGTAATGAGATATACTTTTTTAATTGAATCCTATTCTATCATTAAGTTTTCGTTATTCGCAAAAGTTTATTTTCTTTTTGAAACGCTTGATACTGCTTCATTGTCATCAGCAAAACTATTTTTTATAATTAAATAAATGTCAAAACGATAAATTATGTCTTTCTCACACGTAACCAATGAAATATGAATCTTACACTGCTAACAAAAAACTAATCATCTCGTTTTAAAGAAATACTTTCTGAAAGCTGGAGCTCTTAGGATTTGATCGAGTGTGTCGGTAAGGAAATTTATTCTATTTTGGTGTTACCAAAAAAAAAAACATCTTACGCGTTATTCGATATTGATTTTATTGATAAGTGCTGATCGCAGAGAAAGAGAATAAGGGAGCGCGAGACTTACTCAATGACAATATTTCCTTGAGGTACATTGGATGGAGGAGACCAAGTTGCTTGAATTTGAGTTTTATTGGTTGATGATATTTGAGTAATACCATTTGAAAATGTACCGTTGCAAGAAATAACTTTAACTGATGAATCAGTCGTTGACCAACTACCCAGAATGTTTACATCGCTTGTATCTTTAGCAACCATAAGAATACCTGTGAAATAATTGGAGTTTGTTGCACCTTGAACAATAACTAAAAAACAACAATATGTGAATCGAGCAGACAATGATAGATTCAATCATTCACTTTCAATTGTGTCATTGCTGCTGTATTGATACTTGTTTGCTTGAATTACATAAATCGACTGGCATGACTGTGAGATGGTCTTTCCATGAATAGGCGTCATTGATCCGCAACTGCTCCCTGGTGAACCTTTTGCATAACTTTGAACAATTCTTGCACATTCAAAAACAAGAAATATGAATAGATTAACGAATGTCTTCATCTAAAAGTTCATATAGATATTATTAGAAATTTATCCTTCTCAATCATGAAAGAATGAGTATGAGAAACGAAAATGCTTCTCGGTTTGTCTGGTATCCAATTGGTCGAGAAAATTCGACCAATAAGATTTTAGCTGTGGGTATCGAGTAGTAGTAAGAGTAAGACTATCGATAGGGATTTATTCGGGTCAGATTGAGTGTTGACTTCCTTCCCATCCTCATAGTTTCTGGATTGAGCGAAGGGAGGCACAGATAGCCTATCCGTTACTTGTAGCTAGAAGTGTCATTTTCATCGAAAATAAAATAATGAAGTCGTTTCTCTCTTTAAACTAACTAGATGAAGAAAAAAACATAAGCCTTCGAGAAAAAAAAGATTTTCTTATACGAAGACAGCTGCTAACTTCAGGAAACAAAATCTATAGGGAATGTTGAAGTGTGTAGGATGGCAATTTGGACCCTCCCTCCCACACACACACATTGATCGTGACCGACGGCTTCAAAGACTCTCATCAACCATGACCAATGCTGTTGATATATTATTTGGGATCGTATATCTATAAGGTTTTATCATAAACCACCTCTTTATCGCAGTAGTAGAGAGCTAAATCAAATATTGAGAAGAAATGTATCCCGAAATATATCAAATAAAATGATTTTTAGGTGATCTGAAACAACATCGATATTGTATTTGACATGTTAATCCCACGGGGATTGTAGAAACAGCTTTCTTCATAGATTCCATAGCAATCAGACACAACAATCTGTAATATGCGTGTACTTGGCTGACCATTCATATTACTCTCGTAACTTTACTGAAGAGGCTTTCCTTTATCACCTGGTCATATTTCTTAAGATCGTCTCTATCTGTAGCAATGCACTATTTATCTAAAATTTTTTGTATATTTCTATGTTTTTTTTTTCAAAAGTAATGAAGATTTTGTATGAAAAGACTCAGATACTCTGGGAAAATGTATCCTATGAATTGACGTATGTATTATTTGCTTTTCATATTCGTCGAGATGATAAATTGTAACGCAATTGAGATTTAAAATTATGGGAAAAAATGTTCGATCATTAAAATAGATTATATGATCAATACTAAAAGTATCAATAAATAAAGAGAAAATGATCAGTTTATTATAGAGACTTTATCATTCGGAAAATAAGTTGTAACCCTATTACAGACAATATTATGAGGAAACAAAGTTTGAATAAATGAGGAAAAATCTAAAGAACATTCCAGACCAATCTAAGTCGCTATCCGTATTTTCACTGTACATCGGTTTATACGTATTGTAATATCATTATGATAGGACCGTATACGGATCGTATCTTTTGACCTGGGACGGGGAAAAAGGAGAGATTGAAATTATTAATTGTAATAGGGAAACGGGTTTAACCTTGTCTTGTCAAACTGTTTTTCTTCTCTCGTTAATCAAAAATGTTTCTGCTATTGCTTCCGCGATTCAATATATGAAACGAATCTTCACTGTCTTCTTCAATCCCATCATCTTGCAAGTTGTTAAAACTGAAGTGATGATGAGGAAGATGATAATAAGTGCAGTGTCTAGTGTCTCATTCAGTCCAACTTTAATCTACCTAGTCTAATGCTTTGATTGGAAAAGAAGTTTTTGTTAAAGTCTTCGCTAGTTCCCAGATAGATATTCGATTGGAATACGCACTGTTGAACTATGTTAAAACAATTTTATTTCAGATATTGCGATCATCAACAAATAAAGCTAAGTTTGAACACCAATACTTATCGACAATGTTCCCTGATAGTCTCTTTTCTGTAGAAACTTATCCAGAATTGCCACAATGCTGTATTCATTTCTTCATCGAGGATTGTATCAGATAGAATGCTATCTTTTCAACATAATTCACTGACAAGTGCTCCAAATAAATATTTATCCAGGAACCATCGGATATTTTCACCAAAATGAACAGTTTTCCAATCCGACATTTGACTAGGCTACTGTGAAACTTTGATATTGTCTAGACACATCTGAGATTGGATTGAATACGAGACCGGATAATAAAATAGACACATTTAACTTGCCATCGGCACGGCACAGTCGAATAACAGAATAAAATGAATTATACTATGAAAAGTTTGAATCTTTATATTCATTTTATAATTTAATTTACTGATTTTATAAAATTCTGACTTACTTCTTTTTAAAATACACAATTTAAAAGGATTATCGAAGCATGAAGATAAAAATTTTTTTTTTTTCTTCTTTCAGAAAACAAACAGCAGACGTCAGTCAAGTAACGAAAAGCATGTATAGTGTTATTAATCTAACCTGGGTGAGCGAAGATTTCTTAAGAGAAAATAGGTATTCGTTTTTGTACTGGGTTTAATGCCATATTTGCTATGTCACTGAGAAAAATTGAGCTCAAAGAAAAGAGTTCTGTCCTTCAACGGTTCACTGTGTCGTCGTATCACATGCGTAACAGATAACTTACCCGATACACATTACAGATTGTGAAAGACACCTCAATAGTCTCGGTCCTTCTATTACTAGAGAATTTTAGGATGCCTTTCTGTTGTCATACACTGTGTCAAATACTTTACTTTACCTGTTTCCTTCCTTTAAAACATGACAGTCATACCCGCGAAGCAAAGATCTATTGTATGATTAGTATGAAATACGGTTGAATTTAAAATAGTTGTCCTTTACGTTTCTTTTCTGCTCTTTGTAATGCATCACAATTAACATCTGTCATGATCGACCCATATTAACTGTAGATGACAGTTCATAAATCAAAACATAATTATATATGGAATCTGTCTTTTGCCATGATTATATATCTGTCATATGTCAAAAAGTCATCTCTCTGGTTTGACGGTGACAACTTTTTATACTTGCGCATATTTTAATTATTTACGTTAATATATGTCAAATACTATAATAGAAGTGAAAAAGTATATAATGTATATTGTAAAAGCAAAAAAAGTAATTTTTTTTTTCAGTATCCTTATTCATTTCATGATGTTGATAATTATATGAACATGTATTTGCAGAATAGTTGAAAAATTCTTTCAGAGCAAAGGTCTTTCTTTTTTAGATTTCTTCAGTAGAAACTATGTCGTGTCATTGCTTTCCATAATTCGAAAGTATTTTATTACTTTTTCTCTATAAATTTTAACAGTAAAGGAGCAAGAAACAAACAAAAATATTCCCACATCAGTCTTCGGACTCGTGAAAAACAGTGAGTATTACTCAAATTCATGTCAGTTGACGACAAGTGATTCCAATGACAGAATTTCAATGGTTCAGTTATGAATATTCTCGATCCGAGAATAATCAAGATCAATGGTTTTGTTTGACGAATCAAGTTTGGTATTCTATTCAAGACGAAAACTCCCATTTATATTCTAACTACGTAGATGATAACTACACATGAACTTGGATAGTACTTTAAAGCTGTTTGTCATGGTCTATGGGTGGTGGAGGGAGAAGGTCCGAATTCCTTTCTCTATGCACTTCAACAGTCTTTTTCAGAGCGTGTTTGACAAGATGAATCTTCAGCATCTTGTAGATTTTCGTTCGAAACTAATTTTTAAAATAAGATTATTTCATTGAATAAAACTTTATCTAGCACATGTGATATACATTCTGGCAGCTTGATTATAAAGCCCGTTACTTTTTCACTCGGAAAATTCCATATTTAGTAAAAGAGAAAAATCGATTTTCCAGTTATTTACGTGGTTGAATTGTCCGAAATTTCTACTCTCAAACGTACTATGATTTATCGGTTTATCATAGTTTTTGACGATTTTATGGAGGATCTAACAGAAAGCTCTGTAGAGATATCCTCATGAAAAATTTATTTTGAAAACTAAAACTATTTAAATAATGTAAGTCTTTCTGCAGGATTTTCACAACAGAGAATGTAACCACAGGCGCTCGTAGATGTCGGTGTGGATGTAGATGTAGATATTCTCTTCACCCACATTCCACACCCTCAAGCATACCCACACCTTTCACACTTTATGCTGATTATCTATGCTTATCTAGCCTTTTTTACTCGTAAGGTTTCTGAAAAATGCATTTTTTACTCGACTTTTCAACAAAACCTCGTCGTGCCTCTCAAGTCACGTTGATGTTGACTTTTGAGTTTTGACTTGAAATTTTTCATAAATAATGTTCTCAATGGAACTAGTTCAATCTGAAAATTTCAGACTTTTTCGTGGCTTATGGGGGTGTGAGTGTGGGTGGATATTTGTCTACTTTTCATTCACACCCACACCCTTTATTTGGTATCACTACTTCTGGCCGGTAGTGTATATCATAAAACTCAAAAAAAGAAAAAGATAGAAGAGATAATACATTTTGTTTCATTTATTAAACAGAAATCAAAATCTGTTGTCAAGATACAACATAACATGTGTCTATAAAAAATAAATAGGTAAGGATTAAGAGAGATTCCTCAACCGAGATTAACATACACATACACACAATAATCTATAAAATGAAAAGAGTAATCATAACATATTTGAAAAAAGAGTATTGATGACTATCTGTTTGCGTTCCAAAAGAGAACAATAACAAAAAGCAATCAAACTGACAAGATATTACAACAATCAGACTCTCTCTCTCTCATTTCTCACATGCATGTTTACTGTAGAACAACTAGTAAAGTAACCATAAACTCATCTGAAGTTATTTTTAATCTACAACAACGTGATACTTTT